CGTGTGTATTATGGTATTACATGCCACAATCATAGACACAAAAAAATCTATAAATATTTGAAATAAAAGTTCTGTGCGTCTCCAAGAAATGTATTGTCTTTTTCTACGCTAGCATATTGTAGTAACTCCAGTGACGGACTGAAAGGTTTAATGTGTCTGCGGCCTACTGATAAACACGACTCACACAGGTCAACGGCTGTCGATAGACAAGAGACAAGTACTGCTGATACACGCAAGTATGAACCGTGTTGTGGTCATGTGATCAAAAGCCTTCAAGGTCGAGAGACAGTGCGTAAGAAAGGACAGTTGAGTCCAGGACAGCAAGAGAATGACTGTGCAGTACCTTGAGAGTCCTCGAAAATGTAGCTGTACGATCTAGAGAGATTGTAGTGATTAGTTAGGCAGTTCTGTAGTGTAGCAAAGCGTTTGAAGTTGGTGAAGCCAATTGTGTTTATTGGCTGTTGTTTAAGTATTTGCAATTAAACGCCACATTGTTTATTGAAGCTCGTGTTAAGTTTTTGTGTTAGATGTGCTGTGTTGTGTTTAGCACTGTTTACAGAAGGCCTGATTGAGAAAATCGTAACAATATTTATCATTAAACATTTGTACAATACTATAGTGTTCATTTCTTACATTTCTGTTGTTCTCCTTTTTTTAGATAAAGGTTCCTGTTTATTCAAATCGCTCGAATTCGTTGACCTTGATTCGTTATAAATAGAACAATTATAAAGCTTCTTCAGTTGTAAAAATTGTGGGTGTGTCTTGGACAAGCATAGCCATGATGTTGTAGATTTTTACAGATAAACAATACTAAAAAAAAAAAAAAAAGAAAATGGGCAAATAATGCCCCCAGTGGAGGATTGTTTGATGTAGATCTACCATTTCCTTTCTTTATTTATCATAAGCTTAGACCTAGAGATATATCTTGATCTTGAGTCTAAATGAGTAAATCTAGAGATTAAAGCTTAGATCTAGTTCTAGTCAATCTCGATCTACACCTAGCCTACTGACAATAATAGATTTATATCTAAATACTAATAATATAAATACGCTAAATTTAGACCTACCTGGATCTAATCTATATATCTAGATCAATTTCTTCATTATTACTATTTATTTGTGATAATTTTAGAATAATTATAAAGTTTCTTCAGTAGTACCTGTGGGTGTGTCTTGGACTAGCGTAGTCATGGTGACGTTTTTTTTACATCGTAAAAAAAATGTCTAAATAAAGCCAAAAGCTTCTAATTTCTATGTAAACAAAAGTAAAAATAGTTCCACTGTTGTAAGTTAAAAAGTTTAATTTAAAAATGCAACGAAACAAAGGTATGGGATAGACGTTCCGTGCGTTTAGGCGTAGACAGACCGTCTATGGGATAGACGCTCCGCACTCAATGAGTTAAGTAACAGTGAAAGGTTTGGACTAGGAAGTAAATTATATTCAACTCTGAAGAACATCAGAAACAAGAAAAACATTTTACAAACAACAAAAAACACCAAATCCAATTTTTTTTTTTTAATGTTAATTTATATGTAGAAAACTTTTAAACATCAAAATTTAAGAAAGATTACTTATGTAATTATTTAATTAAAATTGTGTACAGTATATGTGGAAAGAAGTATTAAGATCCTTATAGGTGGCCAATTTTTTTAAAATTATGTACGGAGTGACTCTGCACACTTTTCAACTTCCGACTTAATTTTCCCATATTTAAAGTACACTTAAACTACTATAATCTAGTTTTCCTACAGAGTGGATGCCTGTACTTTAATAAAAACATTAAATAAAGTCAGTACATTATAGGGAAAATACTTTTTTTTAGGGGCTTAAATGCCTTTTTTTTTTTCAAAAATGGGGTGACTTTGCCTTCGAACTTTATATTCTTAATAAATGTATTTTAGAAGTAAATAAAACAGAAAACCTTTTTTCTAAGATTAAGACAACATTGTTGAATAAAGAGACAATAAAAAGCATCACAAAATTTTAGCTGTTTAATGCATGGCTTCCTCCTATAGTAAACAGTTAAAATCAAAGACATTTATCAACAAATTCTTTGTTCATGGTTGAGGTTTCCATTCATCTGACTTAGAATTTATATCCCCACTGCTGGAATATAAGTGTTTCAATGGTAGTAGCATTATTTTCATCTATTTTCATTCACTTGGAACATAGCTGATGTTGAGAATGTTGACTGTGAAGGATGTTGCCTTCTTGCACCAATCTCACTGAATAGCCCAAACAGAAATATTTTTTCTTTTCAATCTTCTCTCAATGCCAGCCGAATGTCTGCTCATCCCTGTTTGTGTTTTCACTCTTACATAGCTTTAATAAAGTTTCTACTTCATTATCTTTATGTCAGCACTGCTTCTTTTTGGACACTGTTGACATGACTATCTGAAAGAAAAAATGCAACACATTTAAGGGGGTGACTCTGCCTCTACCTTAGGCATAAAACCTGTTAAGAAATTGTTTAATTACAACTTCCCCATATAATTGTAAACCAATTAACAACTACAAAAAATGCTTAAGTTCATTTTATTAGCTAACATTCTATTAGATCTAAAATAAAGTTGTAACTCACCTAAAACAGCTCCTGAAGGTCCTGATTCAAAAATGTGTATCTGCCATGTTTTGCTACTAACAGAAGAGATGAAGTATCATTTCTAAACACTAACCTATATTCTTTTATAATTAAATGAAAAATTCACGGGAAACAACTCATGAAAAACGTTTTTGAAGCCTTTCACATTTTTAGTATTGAGTAGGCATAGTCACCCCATTTTATGAAATCCTCATTTTATTTAAAGGTCTAGATCTATATATTTATGTCTGGCTGTTTGTAATGGCTGGTTTGCTTAGTTGGTTACGAGTGTCATGCTAATAATGCTTATGTCATGGGTTTCATCCCCACATTGGTTTTTACTTTTCTAATCGTCAATGACCTTTTTTCTTGGGGAGAGGAACAAATTTCGAAATAAACCCAAATTAAATTTATCCCTCCTTAATTTCAAAAAAGAAAATACAGACCCAAGCATACTACAAGTCCACTTTAGGGAACTGCAAGAGAGCTACGGAGATTGTGGCACCATCTACACAGACGGATCCAAAATGGATGGAAAGGTCGCGTGTGCCTGCTCCTTTCGGAACAAAACAATCTCCCGTAGACTCCCCGATGGCTGCTCCATCTTTACGGCCGAATTGCATGCAATATCGCTTGCACTTATGGCCGTCAAAGCATCAGAAAGGAGGAAATTTATAATCTGCTCCGACTCCAAATCTGCATTGCAAGCTTTGGGGCGGATGAAGACTGACATTCCACTGGTACATAAGAGCCTGAAGCTGTTGGACCAAATAACAGCCGACCATACGGATGTCACCTTCATCTGGGTCCCCTCCCATGTGGGCATTGAGGGAAACGAAGCCGCAGACAGAGAAGCAAAGAGAGCCCTAAATCATGCGGTGTCAGGAACTCAAATTCCCTGCTCAGACCTGAGACAAAGTATTGCCTCTGCCATCTACCAAGAGTGGCAGGACCGATGGGAGGCTGAGACTCACAATAAACTCAGGCAGATTGTCGCGGATGTCAGGTGGCGGTCCACATCTAAGGGTCTGACAAGGTGTGGTAGCACGACCATGTCCAGACTTAGGATTGGCCACACCTACATCACGCACTCTTTTGTGCTGAAGAAAGAAGAGCCCCCACTTTGTGAGTATTGTGACTCTCGCCTCACCGTGGAACATATCCTCATCTACTGCCCCAGATACCAGGATGTCAGGGAAAAATATTTTAGAGCCACTAATTTAAAAACACTATTCAATAATGTCGACCCTGGGAAGGTACTGGGCTTTATCCGGGAAGTGGGGTTGTCTACGAAGATCTGATTTATGAATTCTGTAGACATGTACTATTTACATTAGATTTTTACCAAATTATTAAATTTTTACTACCTCTACTATTTTAACTGTGAATAGACCTTGATTTTAATGATTTGACTGTATGGAATTTGGCCTTTGCTGTGTGGAGGGAGAGTGGCCCTTGAGGGACTGTAGGCACGACATGGCCTAAATTGTGCCGATGTGCCCAAAATCACAATCTGAATCTGAACCCAGGAACAAATTTCGATCGAGAACATGGGTGACCAGGCTTTTTGTTTCTCATGGAGCAATTTTTCACTCTTACTAGTTTACCATTTTTGTCTTTAAGACTCAAGGGAACTAACAATTATATTGTATTTTTAACTACATAAATAAATGTCCTTTATATTTTAACTTTAAATAATTTTTTGTTTCTTTTTCAGGACAAAACTGGTGCCAACTTGTAGAAGACTAGAAAGTTTAATTATGAAGTCGTCAACTTGACCAACAAATGAAGGGGGAAATACATGTTGTGTTATCATAATTCTTACCTATTTGAAATTTTATCTGTTGCTACAAATTTTTTAAACTACATACTTGTGTTATGGTGATTATATAGTTATTTTTGCATAAAGTGCTTTTGTTTTGTATTTTGAGATGTCTAAACATGTAGTCAGATTTTCAGGTGTTTAATAATAATTAAGATTTTTTTTTTCTGTCCTATCAGTATTCATGTTTCAGGCTTACCTTATTTCTTCTTATTATCAGTATATTTAACTCAAAAGCTCTCAGCAGACAGGGTATTTCTGTAACTCTCTTTTATACATTTGTTGGATGAGGATGTGTTTCTGGTGGTGTGGTATTCCTTTTGGTATATGGGCATCAAAAAAAAAAATTAATGTTAGGGAGTTATTCTCAGTTAATTAAACTAGATTTTTAAGTACTTTTTTTTTTTTGTCAATTAACCTTCCTGGCAAGTTAACTTCAGTTCTTTGTAGGAACAGGATTTTTCCTGACGATATAGCTCCAGAAGATTTGTATTCAATGAAATTGATTGATTCCACTATTTTTTCTTCTTTCTTTGTTCTAAAGCTTTGTTTTCAATTGCTTTTGAATCAAGTCCTAGAGATATTGTGATCATCATAATTATAGTTTTTTTAGTGTTTGGTTTATGTTTAAGGTTTTGTGAACCTGACCGGATGATATGATGATGTCATGTAAAGGGAGCCAGTGGTCTAAAGTTTTGGCTATGGGTGCAAGCTTGAATCTCAATGGTTTGTAGTCTCAGCCATGATGGCTTATATTTGACTTACAATAAAACCCTTACATATACTTTCATGTACTGGCGCTAACAAGCTGGTAATGTGCTGGATTTGGATGTGTTACTCTTACACATGTGTATTTGAACACAGTGATGTTACCAAGTACATATCCAGTATTGAGTGATAAAGAATTTATATCAACATATAAGATGTTAGAACTTATGTTTTGTTGGAAATAAAATCATCTCTGTTAATAATGTAATTATTGTTGTTTTTTGTTACATCTCAAAACTGTTTATATCCCTTTCATCATGAGCATATATTTACAAAGTTTAGATCAACTCACTCTGTCAGGTACAATTTTTTTTATTTCTCCTACACCCAATCTTGGATAGCATTGAAATTTTGCAAAAAAAAAATTTTTACCTAATGAAACAATGAACAAAAATAACCTATTAATTAATTATTGGTAATTAATATTTATGTGGTATCGAACAAGGGAAAGACATTTTGACAGATGTGGCGGTATAAGTTACATTAGTGACTAGTCCCCTTTTTACTTTGTGTACAAAAATTAGGTCGTTGCTTATAAGTTTGAAACTAATAATAGATAGTTACAAAACATTAAGTTTGAAACTAATAATAGATAGTTATGAAACATATTTGCAAAAGCACTTTGCTGGCACAATGGTTAGTGAATAGGTTTGAGATGGTTTGAACCCTCGAATTCAAGTCATGCAACTTTTTTTAAAAAATCAGGTAACCTTCACCCACATACCACCATCTCTCTCCGCCCTCTATACCTAAGGGTCCAGATAAGTGATAGGATCATAGCACATTGAAAAAGCATGGAATTTGTTGAAAAATTTCTTATTGCACAGATCAATACATTTATACTTAATATAAGTTTTGTTTAAAAAATAGTTTAGTATATTTCTAGTTAATTTTGTTTTTTTACCTTACACACTCTCAAAGGCCCCATGTATCTTAAAAATAAAAACCTTGTTTCAGAGAGCAAAGAAGAGACATGGTGTGACGTGAAAGAGTTAACATTGACACCCTTGCGAGTTTTGAATTATAATAAAAATAGCATTCTTTCTTACAAAGCTTATATCAACTCTCTCTGTCTGGTAAAACATGTGTACACGTTATTCCATGCCCATTCTCGGTTCAAGCTAAGACTTGGCACAATTATTCATCGTCATGGACAAAGCCATGAATCAATTTTAAAAAAATTAAATAATTTGCCAATTAATTACCGGTACTGGTAATTAGTTTTTGTTTTTTTATACCTTCAGTGGAAATTAATCCTTCTGTATGCATATATTTGGCTAAATATAAAGGGTTTCGTCTCGCTAAGTAAATGAACAGGTTATTTCTCCCACGCCCAATTTGGATCAAGTTGAAAATTCAAGCAATCATTTATTGTACCCAACAACACATGAATCAATTAGAAAATTAACAAATAAGCTAATCAATTATTGTTATTTATTATGTTGTTTGAGATCAGATAAGGGAAATAACGTCTACTTTATTAAATTATAGTTGTGAGTGTGGAGTGCTTTCCCTTAGATAAGATTTAAAACAAAATATTTTGAATGATTTTTATATTTTGCTTGTTTGTTAAATCCATTTTACCTGTACTCTGAATCAACTTTCTTTTCTTTTCAATATTTCTAGATATGTTAACCACAACGCCCTTCGTAACATCTCTCTTGTCATTCCACGAAGTCACCAGCATATCCACTTGACTCTTGGTAACATTGTAAGAGGATCAAATCATGAGATGAAATGACACCCTGGAGATCTCGTTAAAAAAGGAGGAATGAGCACTTATGACTGGGAAGAACTAGCCAGTGATCTCTCCCATCTCTTGAATCCATTAGTTTTGGTGTCTTAAGCTTTAAAGCCAAGATGTTCACCAGATCATGAAGAAATAGATAGTCTTATCTTCAACCATCGAGGCGGTGTGGCTGAGCGCTTGGTTTCCGTACCGGGATTCGGTGAAGACTTGGAGTTTTAATTTATTGATTTTTTTGCACCTCTGAGTCCACCCATCTCTAATGGGTACCTGACATTAGTTGGGGAAAAGTAAAGTCGGTTGGTCGCTGTGCTGGTCACATGACGCCCTCGATAACCGTAGGGCCACAGAAACATGACCTTTACATCATCTGCCCTATAGACCATAACATCTGAAAGGGGAACTTTACTTTTTTACTTTATCTTCAACCATGAAAGAAAAGCTTTACATTTATCTCGCTGCCGGTTGTAACCAGCTTTATCAATATATGACTTGTGTTATGAGATATTGATCTGGATCTACCCATCCATCCCTCCTCTTTGGTCTCCTGCACTGGTCAATTATAACCTGCATGGTCCAAGTTAATGATGTCCAGGCAAGAGTGAGGCTTCCCTCTCCCCCTCACCCAATGGTTGGACGCTTCAAGTTCTTCTCTTCTCACATAGACCTGTTGAGAGGCAATGGCGTGAGTGTCTGTGCGTGCGTGCTGTTTGACCAGTGGTCACTCGGGACATGTCCAGAAGAAGAAGAGCGTGAGGAAAAAAGGGAGGGGAAGGGGGTGGTGAGACTAGTAAGAAACCTTGTTTGTGGTAGTGGACGTGATCAAATGTGACAGTTCTCTCTCTCTCTAATGTCTGGACACAGTCTCTTAGTACTGACTTGTCACGTGACGTTAGGTCTCATTTTATTTATGTGTTTTCTTGACCTCTCTCTCTCTCTCTCTCTCTCCCCCTCTCTCCCCCCCCCCCTCTCTCTCTCTCTCCCTCTCTCTCTCTTTTCCCTCTCTCTCTCTCTCTCTCATCACTATTTTTCTTTATGTTGCAAATTGATGTTTTCAGTGGCCGATTTGGGAAAGAAGAGGAAAGAAAATAATCTTGGCATATTAACAGGGACGGCACAAGAATACAAACAAAAAGATTCTCTGTACCACCGAAGACTTCAAAGGAAATGTATTGTGCACTGAGCATACAATGGGTTAATTCTACACACCTTTATTATTACAAGTGAAATATGTACGTTAAAAGAAGAAAATTGCTTTTAAAAATCTCTAAAAAAATCGACTTTAAATTACACACCGAGATACATATATGTCTCTTAGATTTACATTTGTTTTTACAGTCTTGCGCGGGCGGGTGTGTCTGCGTGCGCGCGGCAAGTTCTAGTTGATCTGGCTCTCAAGTCTTCTTGAGCTTAAGGGAATATTTTACAAGCTTGTATTTTTCTTTTGCTAATTATTTTAGGATAGAGCTGTTCAAACCAAAATTACTCAATGAACAAGCTGCATGCTGTTTTGTGTAGTCTATACAACGTTGCTATTCACTATTGATGTTCTAACCAAGGAACAATCTCTCCTCGCAGCAGTTGTATTTTGGCTTTTACCCTTTTGGCAGATAGCCAGAAACTGTTAGATCAAGATGGTCCTCGCACTAGGAATGTATGAATGTTGAGTAACTAACATCTACTTGATTCAAATGTAACATTTAGGCTGGAGAGGTCGTGCAATTGTTTGTATGTTATATAAGCATCGGATGCTCATTCAGAAATGAAGATTTATTTGTGCTAGCCCAACCTCCCGCAGGTCGGCAGCGGGATGACGGCGAATGAGTTCAAACTCGGGACTATGTAGAGACTGTCCTAAGCGCACACCACACGAGCAGGTGGCCACCTTCACATTATTGCAGGCATACCGGCACTTACTTTTCACATACAGGGCACTCACAGTGCACTCACCTGTGTGATGTAATGAATTATCAACACTTCTGAAGTGCATGGATTTATCATCACTAGTTAGTTGCTTCAAGTTATCAACTTTTATCAAGTGGCTCCGTTTATCAATACCTAAAAGGTACATCAACATATTTACGTTTCTGCAGGTGTGCCATTTATCAACATATCTCAGGTGCATCAGCTTATCAACTTTTCTGAATTGGCTCCATTTATTTTCAACTCTGAGGTGCATCAACATATAAAAAGCTCCTGTTTTGTTTTTTTTAAAGTGTCATGACATAAATGATTCAAAGCGAACGTATGACAAGTAACATTTAAAAATCAGACTCCTCTGGACAATGTCCAACAATAGATGACAATGTTCTTTTTTGTTTGTTCAGTCAGCCTGGGGAGGGAGGGGGAGAATAAAAGGCGGAGCTGTAGCCAAGGCTGCTCAAGGAAACGCGATCTCTTGTGTGTATGACGTTGTGTCTATGTGGTTGTGGGGACGTGGTTGTGTGCGGTTATCTATTCCCCCATATTGATTGTTCTTATCGTTATCGACGCCCCTGTTATCTTCACCACGTTACTTTGCCGAGGTCATCTAGAATGTCACTAAGTACTTCATTCTATCATTGCGACGGAATGCGATAACACCTATATTCATTTGGGGGGGGGGGGGGGCGACAGGGGAGCGTGGCGGTTGATAGTGTTTTGTTTCCGAACCAAGAAGTCTCGGGTTCAAATCTCGATGAAGACTGGGAATTTTGAATTCCGGGATATTTAAGACGCCATATTGAGTCCGCTTAATTCTAATGGGTACCTTACATCAGTTAGGGAAAGTAAAGGCGGTTGGTCGTTGTGCTGGTCATATGACACCCTCGTTAGCCGTCGGCCACAAAAACAGATGACCTTTACTTCATCAGCCCTATAGATCGCGAGGTCTGAAAGAGGAACTTTACTATTCAAAGTGAAAAACAATTTAACAATAATGTGACATGAAAAACTTAGAGGGCGTTCATTACAGCCATATAAAGCGCTCTATTTTTTTTTTATTGTCTACCGGAGTTTACCCCATATTAACCCTTCTCAAAATGTAACAATATTTGCATCATTATGTTATAATATTTCGGTGCGACGGGGAAGAGAACTGATCTTGGATTACTGCCAATAACAAACTTAGTTTGTTTCTCTACTTACGATGTAGACTCGGTACATTCTTAAGTCAATTACTATGTCATACGTCCATCCCGCTCCGATGTACACTCTAGAAATTCCCACTTGGGTTGCTCTAAACTCGGATATTCTTATTTGGTTCAATTTCGCCACTTATGATTATTGCTTATGTTGTCAGTGATCATTACAGAGCTTATAGCTTTACAATTACAGACGAATCCGCTTAATTGGACCAACGGTTAATCA